AAGGGGGAATGAGGGAGGAAAGAAATAAGCTATCTCAGTAGTTTTGGAGTTAGTGATGAGGACATTTGAGAGAACTTAATTCAGACGGCTTCAGTATGTTTGCTCAGGACATTAGATTATCACTGCCCTTGATATTACTGGAAAGAGAAGTGAGTGCAATAATTGGGGTAAACCTCAGCAACTCGTTGCTGTACTTTGTATCACACGTCAGAGGTACAGGTTAAATTTATATTTGATCATCAAATTCATTTGAACTAAAGAACTTTTAACTGTTTTTGTTAAGAAAGCTATTTTTTAATTAGATACCTATTCCGTAAAAGTACTTGAGAGACTAGCATGGTATACCCAATCACAGTAATTTCAGAAACAATAAAAAGTACAGGATTTATTCTTTGATAACAAATGTTTTCAATAAACATTGTACTGATTTTGAAATATAAAAGATTATTAGAATGAAGGTGAAATTTTTATTTTTTGCAATAAATATTTACACATTGAAAGCTGCTTATGCATTATTTTGTGATGTGTTTTATATCCCATCTTGCATGAGGGGATCAAGAAACTTTTAAGACAGGGCCAAACTACAGGATACAAGCAATGTACACATAGCAATATCCCACCTTGTAATTTAAAAAGATGTATGTTTATATTAAGTGTTATTCTATGACTGAACTGATGAATTTGGAATGGTTTATCTGATGAGAAATGAGTATGTTCAACTGAACTGTAATCACAACTGTAGAATTCCTCACTTAGAAGACTATGGTGAATACTTATAGGATAATGGTATAAATGAACTTGACGTGTTGCAATAACGATACGCCACACCATTTGCTAGTCATCTTTGATATTTATCCTTTCAGGGTCATGATGGCTGTTCTTATTGAAGATCTTTTTTTAATCATTGCAATATGTGCACTTTTGTAATTTATAGTTAGTTGAAATATAATCTTTTGACACCTTAAATGCATGTCTTATGAAATTCACATTATATAAAACTTTTATCTAGGGAAAGATAGGATAAAGGAAGATAGCATATAGCTCTGCGAATCTTACAAGGTGAAAAGAAATTTGTCAGAATAGTAGAGGAAAACATTTCAGATATAAAGAACAGTGTACACTGATGAAGGGATAAAGAGAAAGTCATATTGGAAATTATTAGTACTAAATAACAGGCTTAGTATGTTACAAAGGTACTATTATAAAGTGAAGGAAAATATACAGTGTTAGTTTATCTGTTTCTTTTAGATTTTTAATTTTTTTTGTTTCTGATGGTTTTGTTCATTGATGCTGGGTGGATGAAATTGTGACTGAAGCTGTGAGATGATTGTATGGCTTGACTCCGGTGACATCTAGTGTCCTGCCAAGTGATTTGTTGAAGTTTTGTAGAATTAGAAGTATTTCTTAAAGAAGCAAATACTCCACTAGAGACTAAGCTTTATTTGAACTTTCATTTTATAAAAAAAGAAATATTTTTTATTCATGTTGGTAAAAGACTATAGCTTTTGTCTGTTTTAAGTAGTTCATTTGAATGAAATTACGAATTTTTGAGCAGAACAAGACTTAAAATTGATGTCGGGGAGAGAGCAAGAAAGGCTTCAAGGATGTGAAAATAACCAGCCACAGGTATGTAAAAATTCAATTTCAAATTTCTGTTTTCCTTTGCTTTGCTAACATAGCATAGTTCAAATGAAGTTACCTTTGGCCTTTTAGAATCAGTTGATTATAATTTAATATTTAATTGGAAAACATTTTAATTGGTTATACAACTGAAAATATTCTCAAAATTTATAGTGATTTACAGCTAATTTTTTCCGTTGGAAATGAAGCCAAAAGTTCCCGAATATTGTTTGCTGTTTATTTTTATAACATCCTAATAGAGAAGATAACATCAAATACTGAATTATAATTTTAAGCAATCAAAATTATGAACAATTTAACAGTGATGGCTGCTGACTTGGATTCATGTTAAAGGAGTAGTCATTGCTATTGGGTCAAAATTTGCAATTTTATTTATTACTGGTCACTAATACTGTGATTAAACTTGTATTCTCCATTGTGACTTATTTATTTATTTTTTTAAGATGAAGTATTGCCCTGTGACCCAGGCTAGAGTGCAGTATCATGATCTTGGCTCACTGCAACCTCCACCTCCTGAGTTCAAGTGATACTTCTGCCTCAGCCTCCTGAGTAGCTGGGATTACAGGCACGTGTGACTACGCCCAGCTAATTAATTTTTTATATCTTTAGTAGAGACAAGCTTTCACAATGTGGGCCAGGCCAGTCTTGAATTCCTGACCTCATGATCCGCCCGCCTCAGCCTCCCAAAGTGCCGGAATTACAGACATGAGCCACCGTGCCTGGCCCGTGATTTTTAATTTGAATTTTGGTATCTCTGTTCAGGGAGAGAATGGGGTCGTAAAGTCAACCCAAATGACTATCAGTAGAACCGGACTTTGCAGAATGGGAGCTTTGGTGTTAGGGTACAAACAGTAACTTTGTAACTTATGTCTATATGGCAAATCTGTATTGGTAAAAATTTTTTAATCTACTGTCATTAGTGGACCTTAGAATATATTGAAATTTGACTTAAGACGATAGTCTATATAGAACAGCTACATAACACTATCATATTACAGTATATAATTTGAATTAAATTGTAAGAATTTGCCTTTGTTTCTGACTAGTTTTGATTTTGATATCTATTAAAGATTGTCTACTCACCAATTAGTAATCTTTGGGAAAAAAGCACTCAAGTGTGCTACTGTTTGTTCAGAGTATCACTATTTCAGGTACAGAGAGAAAATCGTCCTAAGTGAAGATGCCTTTGTAATACTGCAAACCACCTTTTAATTCATTTTTGGTAAATTAAACACATAATGAATTAATCTTAGTCCAAACAGTTACAAAGCTAAGATTGATGGTTTATATTTTTCCCCTCTTTGAGGCTAAGGTAAACATAGATTAAGAAGTTTAAGAATTAAATTTTTATTATTTTTAAATTTTATGTTTCCATACTTGATTATTTAATGACAAAGTTATCTAAAACATGCCCCCTGACAGAGAAGACATCTGACAAACAAAACTAGCAAATTAACCTTCCACTTCGTATCTGCAAAAAATGTCCACAAACAGAAGTGAACAAGTATGTAATAGCATACATCTCTATATGTGGCAATCCTTTGTGTGCAAAAATAAGAGAAAATGTGCATCCAACAAGGCACATGACGGTGGAAAAAACTTTAAATCTCATCACAATTGAGTTAAGGGAGAGTTTGAGTGAAATTTGTGAAGACTCCAAAACTTCTGATTGTTCAGAGGAGACACTGTAGGAGGAAGAAATGTAAAGAACATACCCTCTAATTTGACAAATAATATATATGATTGTCAGGAAAAAATGCATCTGGAGTACTTATCTGTGTAGTGTTCCAGATATTTTCTGAACAAAAATAGTTCAGTCTCATAAACGTCTTTCCATTCCATTTCTACTCTGGGTCCCCAGAATATGGTTGCCAGTCATCTTCTGATTTTTCTTTAAAAAACGGAAATAAAGTATGCTGTGAAAATAATAACAAACCAGACACTATACATGTATTTAACACAGACCAGGAGAATTTTTATAATGACACAAAGTGAAAAAGCAAGGAACCCAGAAGTAGTTACCATTGAAATAAAAGAAGACCAAGAGTGTAATAGGCCTCTACAAATAATGAAAAACTCCCCAAAATAGCACTAATTGCAAATTGGACATCAGAAATGTGCTGCCTCAGTGTAGTGATCCAAAAAACCTTTTAGATTTGTGGCTTACCTCCTCTAGAGAAATGAAGCATGTGAGTAAACAAAAAGGCGTGGTGTTTCTGTTGTTACAGACACAAGAATACAAAACCAGTAACAGAACTTGTTCTGGAAACCATTATATTATAATTGCAGTGCAAATAACTGAGGAAGAATAGAACTTGGATTAGTAAATGGGCATTTTTCACCACTACGTAGTGATAGAGCATCAGAAGTATATCTAGAAGAATAGTTACAGCACCATATACGAAGACCGAAGAATGAAGTAGTCATATTAAAACTATAGTTCCTGACTTTGAAGAAAGAAAAAGTTCAACTTGAGAAAGACTTAGGGGGTCACTTGTTGCTACTTGTGTTTTTTCTTCTGATCAATTGGTGCATTTTAGTTTTTTACTTATGTAAAGCTCTTGTGTAAACTGGGGTTTCTAAATACATAATTATGTGTAGAAATAGAATATTTCTCTATTTAAATAATAGAAGCTCAGGACAACATTCTACAATCTTTGTTTCTTAATCAACCCAAGTCTATCAGTTTTCCAAGTGGCAATGGGGACTGGGAAACTAATCTGTTCGTGTACCATGTATATGAATACTTCTGAACTAGGGTAAGCATACTATAAAGAATATAAATTGTAAAGAATATATATTATTTATGTAAGATGTATATAATATAAAGATTTTAATATATAATATGCAATATATAATAAAGAATACAATTAGCTCTAGGATCTAATTTTTCCCTATTAAAGATGAAGTGTACTTAATAAAGTGGGAAATCAGTGGGAAGGAAGCAGTGACTGAGAAGTGATATCAAAATGTATCCTTGAGAGTTGGAACAAATATTCATAAAGGAAATTATGTTGTATGTTGTGCTTTGAGGTGTGCAAGTTGATCCATTTAATTCAGTATGTTGGGGCTTATAATTTCATCCTGATCACCTTAAATATGTTTGAAAACCAATGTATATGGATACATCTATTTTTTAATCACCACTCTTACATGTTTCTGTCAAATCCGCTTTCAACGTGATTTTAATAAAGTTTTAGCATGTATAACTTTATTATACAAGTACTATAGAATCTCAGCCAAAAATTTAGTTTTTGACTCCAAAGTAGAAACCTGAATTCTGTACATTGAGTCTGAAAGATAGACAAAAATCTGGTGATACTCACCTTTAAAAGTAAAAGTAGATGAGGCCTCTCAGCCCCTGCTGAGGTATTAAGTTACTTTCCCAGAGTGATACTTTTAATTCTTCAGATTAATTTGATGAATTTATCAGGTAATGTATCTGAGCTTTATGAAATAGTATTGGGTTTTGTGCCATAAAATGCTAGGAAATGCCACTTTAGGAGCATTGGATGAGTCATTTAATCTTTTTTGGTAATGGGGCTAAAGTAGATAATTACTTTCACTATTTCCCAGCTATAAAATGTCATGGTTACTGAATGTGAAATTCAGAAAGCATCTTAATTTTCCAGAACTCTATACTAGCATCTCAGCAGTTCACTCTCCTCCTTCTGTTTTTTTCAAATTTTGGTTCCTGTATTTCAGCAAGCACCGTCACATTTTTGATATCCTAGGATCCAAATGGAAAAAGATGAAGGGCAGTGGGGAACGCTTACTGCAGAAAGGGAAAAGCTTCCTTTCTGTTCCTGAAGCCCCACAATGTCACATTCTCTCATTCTGACTGGGGTAAACTCCAGGAGGTAAAGATAGAAGAGGATAATTTCATGGTTTTGTCCTTTTATTTCTCTATTACTGCTCATCACAAGGGGGTGAAAATTTACATTAGACAGCAAAGAGTGGATGGGAAATAAAAGCACAAATTTGGAATGGGCCCTTTTTGAAAGTTTGGAAAATTTTATTGTATTCACTGAAACAGAAACGAATCCAAATTTGTATGAATTTTGATGAAAAAATCATAATGTAACTTATCTGATAATTATATAATGATACAATGAAAGTAAGCATAAAATATTTTAATGACTTATGACAGACTGAGTCAAGTTATAAAATGAATGAAAACAAGTACTTTCTATTGGATAAAATAATGACTTTTTTTTCTTAGTGTCAAACTTTCATTGGAGGTTCCAGAAAAAAGGAAGAAGTGCAGAAATAAGAAAATGGAAGTGTCAAGAAATCTGTATGCTGATGACAATGACGATGATGATGAATTAATTCAAGAAAGAAGGAGCAGAGAACCTGATAATCACCAGTTTCCCAGGCAGAAGAGCGAACAATATAATAGGTAAACCTATAGCAATCTTTGATAGATTATTTATTGTACTATCAAATGAATTCTAATTTCAGGTAATATGCATGGTTAATGAATTTCATACTTTCACTAGAGATATTTTGTCTTGCCTGGTAATCAGAAAAATGCAAATTAACAAGCAATTAGTTACAGTTTTTCCAAGCATAATGGCATTTTATTAAAAAACAAGTAGCGTGGGCAAATGTGAAATAAAAGGTCGGTCGTACACTTGGTAAATCTTTATTGAAGGGTAGTTTAGTAGCATGTGTCACTTTACTTCTGAAACTGGATTCTGCAGGAAATATGACTTCACACATACACACAAGTTATGGGCATTTATTATATATTATAACATACAATAGGTCAACATATATATTCTGAGATATATCTGTGTGTGTGTGTATGTACATTGAGGTGTTTGTTAGAACACACACAGTGGCATTTTAGTAAAGTGTCGCTCCTCTACTTAAAAAAAAAGAATTTTGATGAATTCTTAGGTTGAGGATGAGGCCGGGTATGGTGGCTCATGTCTGTCGTCCCAGCATTTTGGAGGCCAGGGAGGGTGGATCATTTGAGATCAGAAGTTCAAGACCAGCCTGGCCAACATGGTAAAATCCCATCTCTACCAAAGTATAAAAATTAGCTGGCAGTAGTGGCGCACCTGTAATCCCAGCTACGTGGGAGGCTGATGCAGAACTATCACTTGAGCTGTGATCTTGCCACTGCACTCTAGTCTGGGTGACAGAGCAAGACCCTGTCTCAAAAAAATAGTTGGATTTATTACCTTCTGTAGTAAGAGATCTGTGCTGGTGAGGCACAGTCTCTTTACTGGAGCAGCTGCTGATCGTTACGTAAGGTTTTTGGAAGACTGGACTTGAAGGCTTGGCCGACTCTCACAGGCATAACTGGGTTGATATCATGTGGAGCAGTGTGGTTATCTGCATGAGACTGTTGTGGATTAGTTGGCGCTTCCAGGCATGCTGATGGGAGTGAGTGAGTCTCCGGATGTCTTTCAGAGGCAAGTAGCTGACGTTGGTTGGTGTTAGTGAGGCCAGTGGTCATTGATTGACTGACTAGATTTAAAATGGGTTCAGGGGGGCACCTGTTACCATGACTACAGGTCACCGTTTTCCTTAGTTTGTGGCAATGTTAATCAGATGTTTTCTGTTTGAAAGTTACTTTCTATCTTTTATCAACTATGGTCAAAATGAACAGTATGTCATATTCCAGAATTATATACTTACTTTTGAAGTTTGGGTCAAGAGAAGTTGTTTAATAAATGCTCTCAGAAAGTTTTTAGAAGCTTAGTCTTAAACAGAAAACTCATCTACATGTATTTTTGGTAAATAATTGCTGGATTTATTTTTGCTTTTTTGTGTCTTTTGGGGTTCAGGCTGAACTCCTAACATAATAATCTCCGATGGGAAATTTCATCCTTTTTGTAAATGTATGTAGGTATATGATAGTGATATTCTTATGCATGTGTTTACTACAGATAAAGTAATTACAGTTTTCTACTGGTGAATCCAGCTTTTCATATTAGGAATAGATACTTCACGATAAGTATACAGAAGTTTTTAAATGATTCTGTTTTCAAAGAAAATCCTATCTAATCAGAATAGTGCTATTTTTGAACTATGTATAAAGACATATAGGTATTTTAAAAATAAGTGTTTTTCCCTTTAAGGTGTTTTGTTTTTTTCAGGTTATTTGTGCCTCCTGGTATTTTGAAAATTCACGTGAAATGTATTAAAACAAAATCTATGGCACAAATCCAACTATGACCCCATGTCTGAGAGTCACTGCTTGCAGGCAGTGAGCTCCAGCCTTTTAGTGTAGCATTCAAGCTTAGTGTAGCATTCTTCTCTCAGTGTTTGCTTTCCTGTGTTTTACACTTTACCTTTCAAGTTCCCAGGAAACAACTGGATGTCATGTGCCTAATCCCTGTGCTCACATTCTATTCTTTATGTAGAATGGTTTTCTCCTACTCTTCTGGGTTTTGTTGTTGTTGTTGTTGTTTTTGGCCTGGTGAGCTCCTCTTGTGTTTTGCTTCTTACATAAAGTCTTTCTCATGCTCAGATATAAATTTTTCTAGATCAACTCTTACATATTGCATTGTGTCATAATTATCTGAATGCCTATTTTGCTTTTTTTTTCTGAGACAAAGTCTAGCTTTGTTGTCCAGGCTGGAGTGCAGTGGCACAATCTTGACTCACTGCAACCTCTGCCTCCTAAGTTCAGGTGATTCTCGGGCCTCAGCTTCCTAAGGATTACAAGCGTGCACCAGCACTCCAGCTAATTTTTGTATTTTTGATAGAGCAAGAGTTTGGCCATGTTGGCCAGGCTAGCCTCAAGTGATCCACTTGCCTTGGCCTCCCGAAGTGCTGGGATCCAGTGTGAGCCATCATGCCAAGCCTGCTTATCTGTTTTTGTTTTTTGTTTTGTTCTGTTTTTGAGATGGAGTCTCACTCTGTCACCTAGGCGGAAGTGCAATGGCGCGATCTAGGCTCACTGCAGCCTCCACACCCCAGGTTCAAGCAATTCTCTGTCTCAACCTCCTGAGTAGCTGGGATTACAGGTGCCTGCCACATGCCCAGCTAATTTTTGTATTTTTACAAAATACAAAAGAGGGTTTCACCATCATGCCAGGCAGGTCTTGAACTCCTGACCCCTTGATCCACTTGGCTTTGGCCTCCCAAAGTGCTGGAATTACAGCCACTGTGCCTGGCTGATTACTTTTGTTTTTAAAGCTGAGAATATACGTTTTCTTGTATGTGCTGGAACTTCAAAATGGGTTTTTGAATTAGTAAATAAATAGAGATGGAGAAGACTATGAATTTCACAATAAATTTTTTATTCTTTGTAAGTAGAATTATTAGAAAACATTGGCTTTTCAATAGGTTTGTTAAAGTAGTGATCATCCGTTGTATGTAAAGGAAGTAAAGAAAAGTAAAAGTTTTAAAAATACACCTCAAAAGAACCTGTGATTACACCAGTGTTTGAGAAGGCCAATGTATGTATGGGTGTTCTACCCAGTCTAGAAGACTGTTAGTCTTCTAGGAAAACAATGATAGCAGTTTTAGTGACATGGTTAAGGATGAAGGAGGATAAAATGTCTGATTTTCTTATTTCCCTGTGAAGGAATATTAGAAGTGATTCCTTTCTCTGGAAATAAACTAGTGTAGACAGCCTAATCTAGAGCATAAGTCAACTGTATCATTGCTGCTGGATGATTAAGATGATTAGTGCCTTTGTCAAGGAGGAGTTTCAACTGGTTGCCATGGAACCCTGACTGTAGTGGCTGAGCACAGAAAACATTTGAGAGAACTTTGACTGCAAAATGGAGTAGAGGAATGGGTGACAAGTAAAGAAGAAAAATGTGAGATTCAAAGGACTTTTGTTTCTTTTTCTATTTTGGAATGGAAGCTGTTAGAGTCTTTTTTTTGTTTGTTTGCTGTTTCAAATGATCCAGTAGAGAAGAAATGTGTCTGGAATTTAGTTTCGTTTGCATGTCTGAGCATTGGAAAGTTTGATCCATTCTCTTTTAAATATTTATAGTAAATCAATTATTCTTACAATTTCTATTCATGTATCATTTTATCGGAAGAGGTTTTTCTTTCAGAATTGGTTCAGGAATGGAATATTTTAATGTAATGGTACATGAAAATAATCTAAAAGTTAAACTCACATGCATTTGTTTTTAGAAATTCTGTAATAAACACAGACACTTTGGTCATATTGAATAGAATTTAAACATCCCTTGATGATTTATATGTCACAGTACCTTTGAAAGTAGTATCATGAATAGCTGTGCTTTAACAAGGTACTCTAAAATACAGGTGTGTCACCTTTCTGGTTTTTCAGATTCTGGGGAGGGGGAGGCTTTCTAATGAATAATAGAGAAGGCAAGCTACTGAAATCGTTCACTGCAGACTGTAACTTTTGGATTGTATAGTTCAAAGGTTAAAAAAAAAATGTTTGTCTGGACCAACCATGTCTTTCACATGTATTGTACATTCAGTAAGTGTTGGTTGAATGCATAAATTAATAGTTGAATGAATGATGTTTTT